ATGAGAGTTTTTACTCTCTTGCAGGTGTCTAGCTCCTAAGAATGTTATATCTGGGCTTCAAATAACCTTAAGTACCTCGTAAATATTATGAAAACAACATCTTCACACTCTGACTTGGTTCTCATGACACATTTAATGAAAGAAGTCTCAGTTTACTATCCCAATATAAACAACAATAATCTCAAATTCTAAGGATCAACCTTGGTTTTCCAAACAACCAATTATTTATTTGGCAATATCTTATGAATTATAGCTAGCCTCAGCTACTGGAATGTACAAACAGCTTTATGGTATAGAGATCTATCTTGCAAGCTTTCATATTAAAAAAAATTTTATTGCATCTGACCCTCACAAAATGGTGCCCAGGAAAGCATGCATTATGACATCTGTATTACAGATGACACATGGTAGGCGACCTACACAGACTCCCAGGACTAAGCAGTAAAGAACGAGAACTCTTTTTGCCACAGTGTGTCTGGCACATAGCAGGAGCATAATAAATAGTGCTGGATTGAATAGAGCAATGAAGATCTAACTTCATAAATTAATGAATGTGCTATTCATCCTACATACAGGGGTCTTAGAGATCACCTAGAGCAGACAGCCAAACATACTAAATGACCTTCCAGGGTTCATGGAGCCGATTTCATGGCAGAAATAAAGTTAAGGGGAAAGCCTTAGGATTCACAGCCCTTCATGGTCTCTGCAAAGCCAGCAACTGGTACTGTCCCCAGATCTCTCTGAGGACTTCACATCTTCATGTAAACCAATTAAGACAGACATGAATAACATCTGGTGAATTTTTATTTGTCAGAAGATGAGAAATTAGAGGCACAGTTGTCTTTGCAAGGTACATCTTGTTGTTCCCAGAAAAAATGCATTTTTCTGGGAAAAGTACATACAGACACACAAAAAATTGCCTTCTAAATCTCCCACCATCTTAAGATTTTATATATATATATATACACACACACACACACACAATAATATATTATAATATATTATAATATGTAAATAATAATATTTACATACTATATAGAACAAGCACTAGTATTTTGATGTATGAAACAATAATTTTCTTATATAATATACAGGATAAAATGAGAAATATTTCATTATTTTCTCATGTAAAATGGCATCAGCCTATATCCTCTGGAGAGTTTGCTTTCTTTATTCATTTAACATCATTTAACAGTTAACATTAACAAATATTTGTTGCATTTGAAACTGCTGATGCTGCAAAAAAGGTCCTGGCCCTCAAAGAAATTACATTATAATAGAAGTAGGTAAACAATAAACATATAAACAATAAGATAATTTGCAATGAAGACAAGGACGCAAAGGACATAATTTAAGAAACGTGATGGAGACTTTAAGGAAGGAATGTTCCTTGAAAGGCTGACCAGGGCCTTTGTTTCCAAGAAGATAATATGTGAGCTAAGAAGTGGAAGTTTCCTATATAGATATTTGGAGAAACGGTTCTGCAGGCAGAGGAAACAGCAAGTGTAAAGCCTCCGAGCTTGAATGTTTGATGGGCTATAAATAAAGGACACGGTGACAAGCAGGGTGCTATTAGGGAGTTTGCAATTTACTAGCATGTGGCAAAGCAAATGGTAAAAGTGGTTTGTGGGGGGAAGAAGAAAGACAGGACAAAAACAAGACTGAGCTTAGGAGGGAATAGTTGTAAGATCTAGGGCAGAGTATACTTGATGCAGTCGATACCATGTTTCATTAGGTGACATCTTGGTCCAGTGAACTTCAAAGTGAACAGTAGCCTGCAGTTTTGAAACAGGCTACAGCTAGCAGTATAAATGAAAATGTAATGATGTCATGGCATAAAGTCATTGTCTGGGTCCTGCTCATGGAACTGGGTCAAGCCAAACTTGAGTAGTGTGAGTCATAGGCTCTATTAAGTTAGAGGATCTAACTAGAAAGCTGGGGGCGTTTTTTGGTAGAAAGCTGACCAAATTAGGGCAGCATTGCTCACGGCAGTCTGTGGTCTCTGGCAGGAAAAACCTACAATGTAATCGAGGAATAGAGCCAGAATCTAAGATAGGTGGCCAAGTCGCAAGCTTGTGGTCCAAAAAAGAAATGAAATCAGAAGCTAAGCAATTAAGAATAGGTTGAAACATAAGAGCAAAGACAGCTTATTACCATGGCTTTCAAAGGTGAGGAGTTGGAAGTTATGTCTATGTGATGTTGATGCCGTTATCTGAGATGATCCTGACTTCAGGAGACCTGGGTACACAGATGAGATGATCACACCAAAGTTCAGATAATTAAAAATGTAACATTTACACACAACCGCATTTATTGTTTCATCAGAAAAGGTCTTGCCTAAACAGTGTTTACTGAAAATTGATATTCGAAACTATTAACTTGATGCTGTTTGCTATTTATTTTCAGCATCGGGCTCAGCCATTAATCAGGAATTATGGCAGCATATACCTTAAGCCTGTTATAGATCCAACTTTTAGATATATCATGTGTTAAGATCCAAGATATGAATGCGATGTATACAGTAACCATCATTACTTCTGGCATGATCTGAGCATGAGAAGTCAACATTTCAAAGCCACATTAGCTTTGAGTCCTGGCCAAGACCTGCCTGACCCTGTCATATTAGCTCCATTTCCATTGTCTCTCTGTAATATGCAAAACAGAAAACATACTTAAATTGCCACCTGGACTATTTCACTCCTGACACAGCACCCGATACCATGATCTCCTATTCTGTGGTGAGAGGAGGGAAGGGTCGGTCAAGATGGTAACAAATAACCAGTAGGAAGAGGAAACTGAATGCTTACTGCATTGCATTTTATTGATGTAGCTTGTCAGTTTCCTTCCCTGACATACAGAAACAACATTTTCACGTAAGTTTTAGGTCATTTATCCAAAAGACTTTTTGTCAAGTCCCTTCTAATGTGTCAAGGATTGTGTTAAGTGCTAGATACACAGTTCTGAACAAAATGGGCAATTTATACGTGTGTATATATATATGAATTAAAAATTAGTGATAAATTATATGAAGGAAACAAACAGGCTAAATCATAGAAAATAATGGAGTGGGGGAAGGGCAAGCATCCAGGGACTCGGGCAAGCAAATCAAAGGGACTATTTTGAGTAAAAACCTCCAATTTCGAAATGTCATCATTCAGCTTTGCTGCCTCCCGTCCACTTAATGCTTTCCATCCTAGTCCTTATCAGATTCCTATTTTGTCTTAGACAACCTGCCAGGATAAGAATAACGAGAAGCAAATACATGTCTGTCTCAGTTCTTGTACGTTTCCAGTTGCTGCTCTTACTGCTGCTTTCTTCTTTAAATCTCTTGACACCACCAAAAGCGAAAGAATTCTTAAACTGATATGCTAGCAATAGAACTCTCATCTTAAAGATAAATCTTATGCTATAGCACATATGAGTAGAAGCACAGAGGAAGGCATTGGGGAGGATCTAAGTCTAGTCACTACTCGCAAGAAATTGACCACGAGGGCTTTATAGGATACAGGAAACAAGAGGATGCTGGATGAAGGTGTATTCCCGGCTGAGTATATAAAAGGCAGTCATTGTATTGGGAGTGTACCACTTTGACAGGCAGAGCGGACACCCTTGCTGCTTCATGGATCCATGGGTCACTAAAAGGGTAAATTCCACATGTGCGTGGGATCTTGGCCCCAGTACCTAATCTCTCTCCTCATCTCTCTTGGGCCAAAGGCCGTATCTCATGACTCAAAATGAATGTTTATGTGACATTGTCTTATGAGGGCCTATACTCATGCCCAAATTACTCCTGAATTACCGTGCGATTTCCCAAAAGTTGTATGACTCTCTTCATTTTGGAACCTGGGTATCTCTCTGTGCTCAAGTTTATATTATTTTTTTTTTTTACCTTATCAGCATTTAAAAATATTTTTAGCACTGGCTGCTGAGGGTTAGATGGAAGTTAGAGATGGTTTTCTGTTAGTTCTGTCTGTCTTGTGATGTAAACCAGAAATAAACCAGTCTGAAAACCTTGAACATTCTTTTCTTCATAGTAAAACAATAATAATAATGCCAGTTTCACAAACATTTGAAAGCATAAAATTATAACTTGCATGTGAAAGTTCTTGGAGTATTGTGATATCCTATGCTAACATAAGCAAGTGTTCATATTATCATTTACAATCACATCAGATTCACTTTTACCAGGTCACAAGGCCCAGAGGAAATAAGAGTTTTATCAGAAACAAATTTATTTTTCCCTATATCTGGGGAAATTGAGCGGAGGTACAGGCTAATCTGAGAAACACAGGGGCCTACATTGCTAGGCAAACGATTTGTAAGAATGGAGGTTGACACTAGTAAAAAGATGGCAGGTTTGTAAGAAAGACATTTCTACTTCGGAGTGACCCTAGAGTATATTTTCTCCCCAGCAAACTATCATGATTGAAATCATGTCAATTCAAGGGAGAAAAGTAAGAAATGTCTCTGAATTTCAGTGTTCAAAATACATCATGGGGCCGGCCCCGTGGCTTAGCGGTTAAGTGCGCGTGCTCTGCTACTGGCGGCCCATGTTCAGAACCCGGACGCTCACAGACGCACCGCTTGTCCGGTCATGCTGAGGCCGTGCCCCCCATACAGCAACTAGAAGGATGTGCAACTATGACATACAACTATCTACTGGGGCTTTGGGGAAAAAAAAGGAGGATTGGCAATAGATGTTAGCTCAGAGCTGGTCTTCCTCAGCAAAAAGAGGAGGATTAGCACGGATATTAGCTCAGGGCTGATCTTCTTCACAAAAAAAAAAACATCATGAAACACATTTGCTCCTAAAAACAGTCTGAGCGTGCATTAAACAGGGGGTCATAATGGAATTCCTAAGTTAGGCAATTACATTTGAACACTTGTAACACATTTGTGTGGGGAGCGAGTGTAGGAAAGGGAGAATCTAATCAGATAAATGATGGCCAGAACCACGTGTAAACATTGTGATCGTTTCTTTTTTTTTTTTTTTTTTGCAGGAGTCACAGCTGAAAGCAATGAAAGAGACTGTACAGCTCTGCCTGTCGACTGTTTTCCGTGCTCAACCTCCCCCTTTGAGTCTCATCAGGTCAAATCCAACTCAGATGTCAATTCCACCCGGGACAATTGACACTAAGATTCCAGATGCAGACACACAAAGCCAGGTACTCTTTATCTGTGCTTTGAAAAGTCAAATCAAGTAATGTACTGTCTTTATAGTTCATTCTGTATGATCATCAGAGTGGATCCAAGTAAGATATCAAATTCATTAAAAGATTAGCAAGTAAATGGAAGATAGTAACCCAGTTTGTAAAGTCTCCATGGTCACGTGGAGAACATTGGAAGACAACTTCTCTTTAGTAGAGAGCGAGCTGTTTCTTAGGCAGGATCATCTAATTGTAAAATAATAATAACAATAATTATTTGAAAATAATATTCTAAAATTAGCCTAAAATAATAGTAATTATTTTTATTATTATTTTACAATTAGTTAAAAGAAAATATCTTGTATTACATTCCAGTATACAGCAGACGTTCATACGGAAAATACTTTCTCCTACGGTACAACCATAATTCTTAGAAAAGTGGATACATCTTTAAAAATTTAAGTCCATAGTTCTCAACACTGCCTGCACATTAGCATCACTTGCATTTTGTGAAACAATTCCGACACTCACCCCAGACCTAGTAAATTCTTTCTGGTGGGGCCCCAGTCATCAGCATTTTTTAAAAGTTCCCCAAGGGATTTTGAGACCAACTGACTTAAGTATGTCTTCCTCCAAATCCCGCCCCTTCCCCCCAACCCTGCTTAAACAGGGCAAAGGGGAGGTCAGTGCTGCTTTTGTTTCAATCCTTAGAACCTTCCATTTGCAGCCTCTACGTTTAAACAAATCCTGACAATGTGAAATAGTTATTAGAGAAAGGAGTTTAGTTTCAGGCAGTATGTTGACAGTGCTGGCTCTCTTATCACTTTGCTTAGGATCATTCGCTGTTAAAATGAGTGTCTTAGACACCAGACTTCTAATGCAAATCTCTGGGAGTTGGCCCAGGAAAACCTGAGAGCCACTGATGCAAATACCTAATGATACATTAGGTCTGAGGCCTTCTTACTGCTTATTTCTGTGATTTCCTATATTTGGATTTTGGGGGTGTGGACTAACTGTAGATTAGTGAAATACTCTTTTCAGGATATAGAGTCAAAAGTAAGTAAAACAAAATAAATCTTCTAATGTTCCGTTTTCATCTGTAACTAGTCAATTCATGGGCTGCACAGATTAGTCTGTATAATCTCAAATTTCTTTGTCAAAAATCATTTAAAATATGTATTTCTATTTCTATCATACTATTCTTTTTGGTTTTATTATGTACTGAAGGATCTCAAAATTTTCAGGCCAATATTTTTCTCCTTTATTTTCCTGTCCCTTCTTTGAAAACTGTAGGTCTAAAGTGTTTCTTTACTTAACCAAACTCAGGGAAGAATGTTGCATAATAATATGTTCGTTATGTTTATGGAAAAATCCTGGGTAAATTTATTGAGACTGGTCATTGGTTCAATGCACAGCTACCCACACACTTTCCAGGAAACCGCACGCTGCCTCCACTTAGTGTTGGTCGAAGGGAGGAGCAAAGGCCCAACCTTATGTAGCCTGATGACTTTGGGCAAAGCAGCTTTGTAATTGAATGGATACATTACGCTGTCTCCAACTCAAAATGCATTTATGTAAGCCTGTTATTAAAACTAGGCTCCTTATGATCCTGAATGTGTGGAGGAAATTACTGGTTGTTACTTTAACTGATTTACTATCAATAAATGTATGTCCTGTCATTGAAATAAATAATAAATATTTCATTATTTCTCTTGGCGTATCACAGAAAAAGATAGGGAACATTTTGATGAGCCTGGTTTGGGGATTGCTCATTTTTTCAAAAAACAATAACAGAAAAATCCAATTGTTTAAGATAAAGTTCAATAAATCTAAGTTGACATGCTATAGGGCATTCTATTTTATAGATTAGCATTAAAAGCTTCTCTAGTGTTTATGTTTTGCCCATATTCTTTATCTTTTCAATAGTGATGGAAATTGTATTTTATGTATACTTGGGGCTTAATCTCTATGCAGGCACCTCACAGTGTTTTAAAAATCCTGAATAATATAATGTGATTAGGGGTGTGTATAAGAGAAACAATCTCTTCAGTCATGGAATAATTTTCCTCTATATACAAAAAAAGTAACTTTTAGATGAGGACATTTAACTGGTGAGTCTTCCGTGTTGGCTAATTACAGCGGCAGTGAGATGGTGTGTGACAGAGAGTTGGAGACAATGACATCGTTTAACCTCCCGGTGCTGCAGTTTCCGCAGTACCTGTCTCAGAGCGGTGTTGTTACAGGAGTGCTGGAAATGATAATTCTTCTTTTCCACAATATATGGCTGGTCTCATCTGCTTTCATTTGTTTCTCTTAATCTTCAACTCTTCTTTGAAAAAGGAAGGGCATTTGGTTTTTCCTGAAGTCTGTGAAACACATCCAAGTAAGCAGTTTTCAGCCAACATCCGGAAAAAGACAACACCCCTAATGTCATTTTATTTTAATTTTTTTTCTTCCGGAAATTGGATAATGCAGTCAAAAATTTTATTGCATCATACATGTGTGTGTGTATATGTGTATGTATCTATCTATATGTGTACATATAGATACATACACATAAATATTGTGTGTAAATATACACATATATTCACTGTGGATTTTCATTAGACACATTAGCCACAGACTTCATTAGACAAAGAGTTCAATATTACAAGAATTTACTGGGAAAAACTTAAAAAATAATTTGCATATTGGTGACCCCTACTTTTTGTTTTAATTCTAGATCATGTCTTTTGGATAATCTTTTAGTCCTGTAGCTTGAGTTTCTTCTGAGGGCTCTCAGCCAGGTCTGTGAGCCTTCCTGCCTTCACTGCAGCTCCCTTGTTGTGATGCCTGCTTCTCTCTGATTTGAGTGACTTTTTCTTACCCTCCCAGTTAGAACTATTTTTTCTATTCTCAGTGCCTGGATAGCACAGTGTTTATTCCTCATGGCTCTTGGCCATACCTTGAATACAGTGATGGCTGAATACTCCTGTCTCCTTAAGGCAGATGACTGTACTTAGCTCACTGATTCGCTCTACATTACTCAGTGTCCAGAGCGATGTTTCTCGAGAATTCATTTGAAATGACACTTGCTGCATTTCTGTTTTAGTCAGCTCGGTCTGCTCTAACAAAATGCCATAGACTAGATGAAAAATAACATATCCATTTCTCACAGCTCTGGAGGCTGTGAAGCCCATGATCAAGGTGCTGCCAGCTTCCATTCATGAGGGCCCCACCCTCGTGACTTCGTCCAAACCTAATTACCTCCAGAAGGCCCTATCTCCTAATGCCATCATATCGGGGGTTAGAGCTTCAACACGAATTTTGGAGGATGCAAACATTGAATCCATAGCTATGTGTCTCTTCTTGTTGGATATTGTCTTTATTTAGAAGTTAGAAAATATATATTAGTGAGTGCTCATTAAGAGCTTAGTATTTAACTACATTGTTTTCCATCTGTGTGCCAGGACTGTGCTCATCATTGGGGATGCACATTTGAAATGACACAACCCTGACCTTTTGAAGAGTGCAGTCTGATTCTTTGTAAAGAGAAAACAAGAAAAAAATGCAAGGGGTGTGTAGTAGATCAGGACTTTTTTTTTGTATGTAGAATTCCATATTCCAAATAGTTTTGATTAAAGATAAAGACTAAGGAGATACTTGTATCCAAATGCACGTGAGGTGATGTTTTTGTTTTGTCTTTGTTATGAATTGTGTATTTATTATGGGGAAAATATTGTTTCAACAGAGAGGTGAACAACAAAGGTATGAGCCAGGAGATCTGATTTGCATTTTGCATAAAATGACTCTAACTAGAGTAGAAGGAAGCAAACCAGTGACAGTTTACTCACTGATCCATTCAGGAGATGACAGTGACGATGGTACAGAAATGGCAATGGGCTTCCAGATGTAAATGACGCATAGAACTGCAATGTCCTCGTGACTAGGTGGGATGCGTGAAGGGAGGAAATCAGAACAGCACTCAGCGCTGGTATTCATTCACCGTGATGCTAAAGGCAGGAGCAGCTCTCGAGGGAGAACTCAGATTGGTTTGCTTCTCAACATGCTAAGTGTTAGACGTCTTTCATAAAATCAAGGGTCTATTTCCAATAGGTATTTGTACATTCGAATCTGGAATTCAGGGAAGACATCGAGTGGAGATAAAGGATCTGGCATCATCACCACGGATGGCAATTAAATGTTGGAAATAGATTAAATTCCCTGATGAGACAGTGTAGAGTAAAGAGAGAAGAGGGCCACAGAGGACACCAGACGAGAGAAATAACTTGAGTATGGTCTTATGTATAGTCTAATCAGTGGGACATTTATGGTAAGAGTGCACTGCTGCCCATTATCTTTGGTTGAGATGCTCTTCATTATATATTTCGACTGAGAACCATGACTTTTCCATGCCTGTTTTATCAGTACAAAAAACAGAATATGCATGTCATTGTGTGTATCTAGAATGGTGAATACTCCAGTGGTCTGCTGGAGATGGCTCATATCAGCTTGTAAAAGCTGACTGTTAAATTTTCAGACTTTTACTAGCCAGCCCTTAAACATAGCCATTATTAAACATTAATTATATACACTTACAATTAAGTAAATTATGCTAAAGCAAATGTGGTACATACCAAACTGCTGCACCACATTATTATCTCTGCTCTTAAGGATATTGTGTCTTTTGGATCCATATGGTGGAAACCAATGATGTGCAACTGATGTCTCTTCCCAACTTCATGTTCAGTGGTATCATATTGGTAGATTGAAACTGGTAGTATTTATACCAGAGAAATTGGCAAACACTATAAATCAGGGTCCTCCTGTCCCCCAGAGTTAGTGAATAACATGCTCCTGTCTGTGTATATTAATGAGACGTGTGTCTATGTACGTTAAGCCTTAAAGATAGGCCTACTGGGCATCCTAGATAATACATGATCAACATACTCATTTATTTTTGTCTTCCACTGCTGTGTGGTAGAGCTAAATGCATAGTAAGTGCTCAGAAAAGGCAAAATAATTATATTTAAAAAAAA